TTCCCAGACAAGAAAAAGCTGAAGGAGTTCATCACCACCAAGCCCTTATTATATGAAATGTTAAAGGGACTTATTTGAGGAAAAGAAGAATATCAAAAACTATGAACAATAAATGGCAAAAATACATATCTATCAACAATTGAATCTAAAAAACAAACTAAGCAAAGAAGAACAGACTGAATCATGGATACAGAGAGCCAGATTAGAGGGGCTGTGGGAGAATGGGTGAAGAGGTGAGGGGATTAAGAAGCACAAATAGGTAGTTACAGGATAGCCATGGGAATGTACAGTACAGTATGGGAAATGGAGCAGCCAAAGAACTTATTCATATGACCCATGGACATGAACAATGGTGGAGGGATTGCCTGAGGGAGAGGGGTGTGCCGGGTGGAGGGGGGAAAGGGGGAAAATCAGGACAACTTTAATAGCATAATCAATAAAGTATCATTTTTAAAAAACCATTAACCTTAAAGGGTGTAATATGAATTTTTAAAAGTAATGAGTGAAAGACGAACACCATATGGTCTCACTTATGTCTCATGAACAAACTGAACCAACAAGCAACACAGGGACAGGCTCGTAGACGGAGAGCAGGAACAACAGCTATGGGGGTGAGGTTAGGGGGTGGAGGGATTGGGCGAATAGGAAAAAGAACTCAGGGACAGGGACAGCAGTACAGTGACTGCAGAAAGAGTGGGGTATTAGGGGGATAAGTGGTGATGAAGAAAATACAATGTAAATAAATTTAAAAAAATTTTTTTAAAAGACAGACATACCAAACGGTGGAATTGAGAGTCCATAAATAAATCCTCACAATTATGGTAAATTGATTTTGACGAGAGTTCTGAGACTATGCAACGAGGAAAGCATGGTCTTTTCAACAAATGGTGCTGGGACTACTGGCTATCCCCATGGAAAGGAATCAAGTTGGGTCTGTACCAAACACCACATTCAAAAATTTACTCAAAATAGAACATATGCGTAAATATAAGCACAAAATTCTAAAACTCTTAGAAGAAAAGATAGGTATAAATCTTCAGGACCTTGCATTTAGCAATGGGTTCTTAGATACGACAGCAAAATCATAAGCAACAGAAGAAAAAAATAGATAAACTGTACATTGTTAAAATGAAAAAACTTCAGTACCAAAAATCACCATTCAGAGAGTGAAAAGACGACCTAAAGAATGAGAGGAAAATTCAACAAACTGTACATTTGATGAAGGATTTGTATCTAGACAACAAGAACACTTTTAGCTCAATAATAAAAAAATACAACACAGGTCATATTTATAGATTCGAGCGAGTAGGACCTGAATATCTTTGGGGGAATGCTATTCAGCACACAAGAGCTACTGTCAAAATATAGACAATAACAAGTGTTGGTGCGGATGTGAAGATATTGGATCTCCAATACACTATTAGTGGGAATGTAAATTGTAACAATCACTTCAAAAAACAATCTGGTAGTCCCTCAAATGGTTAAACATACAGTTACCATATGACCCAACAATTCCACTTGCAGGTATATACTCAAGAGAAATTAAAACATAGGTCCACACAAAACTTTATATACAAATGGTGATAGCAGCATTATATATAATAACCACAAAGTGGAAACAACACAAATGTCCATCAACTGATGAATAGATAAATATCCATACAATGGACTATTATTCAGCATTAAAAAAAAAATGAGGTGCTCATTCATGATACAACACAGATGAGCTTGGAAAACTTTATATTAGTTTAAAGAAACTAGTCACAATGGATCATACACTGTGTGATTCCATTTATGTGAAGTGTCCAGACTAGGCAAATAAACAGAGACATAAAATAGGTTGTGGTTGTCTAGGGCTGAAAGAGGATGGGGAATTAAGAAGTGACAACTAAGGGGATAGAGTTTCTTTTTACAGTAATAAAAATGTTCTTAAGTTAACTGGGGTGATGGATGCACAACTCTGTAAATATAACAAAAACCACTAATTTGTGCACTTTAAATGTGTGAATTAGCTCTGGCTGATGTGGCTCAGTGGATTGAGCGCCAGCCTGCAAACGAAAGGGTTGCCGGTTTGATTCCCAGTGTAGGTAGGACACGTGCATGGGTTGCAGGCCAGGTCCCTGGCAGGGGGCACACAAAATGCAACCACACATTGATATTTCTCTCCCTCCCTTTCTCCCTCTCTATAAATAAATAAATAAAAATAAATAAATAAATAATGTGTGAAGTATATGGTATGTGAGTTTTATCTCAATAAAACTGTTTTTAAGTGTGTGGTTTTAAAGTCTCTGACTTCAAGAGTGCTTGAATAAATGTACATCCCTAAGAAAATAGACTGAAATCCAAGAGATAATAGACTTTGATTTCTACATCAATGCATCCATATGTGGGGCAACTGAGGACAGGGGCTTCCCAGTGGCTGGGGTAGTCAGTCTCCAAGAAGCCCCTAATGATCCTTGTCTTCTGGTATTCACACTGTGTTATACGCCCCTCCATATTGTACCAGGTGAGTTATGTGAGATTAGTAGAATGTGGCAGATATGATGGTATGTAACTTGCATGATTTTATTTTAAAACTGTGGCTTCCACTTGAGTTTTTACACTTTAATTGGATTAAAGTAAATTGCACTGTGATATTTGGACCCTCTTTCTTTCACCTTCTTCATTCTTTAACCTCATTGTTTGATTATTCTGAGCAACTAAATTCTGATAAGCTAATCAGGAGGCCTAATGTTCTGTAATCCTTTTTTGGCTTTATTCACTAAAAGCCATTTAAAAGGCTTTAGCCTATAAATTCCATCCAATAGGTTACAATTGATATTTGGAAACCAATATAATGAAAGAGAAAAACTAGCTCCTACCATTACATATGCATGCTTAAGTTGATAAAATCATTGAGTTGGCTTGTGTAGAACAACACTAATACACCTATTATAATAGGTGGAGAAACTGTACTCTTAATGATATACTTTTTTTCAACAAAACAAGTTGCAAAGAGTTGGGTAATTCAGGAGGCATATGAACTACTTACACATAGGAAAATGTTCTCTCCCTACTCCTCTGTGCCACCCAACTCCATTTTTGCAGTAATCTCTTTATGTAAAAACTAAACAAACATATTAATTTAGAGGTGTAACAGTATTCATATCAGTGACCATAATAACTCAAAGTATTTAACTCATCAAAGGAGTTCCTGGTAAAGGAATAGTCTAAAAAAGATATGGTCTATACAATTGCAATTATCATATAGAATTTTTTTAAGGATAAATATTCATTTACATGTTTGGTATCATGTGGATTCAGCTAAAACCAGTAAAACCTATTTGCTTTGCACTATTTGCTCCCCTTAGAGTATTTAACCCAGTAAAGGTGAAGAAAGTGAGTGATGAGTAGTCACAGTGAATTCGTTTCTAATGGATGCTGGTAATGCAGAATTAAGGGTAGATTCATCCTTTAATTCATCTAATAAGTAGTTATAAGCACTTAATCTCAAATTTTGGCCCCTCTAACAGTTATTTCCAAATTTTAAAACACAGCAGGGTATACGTTCAGGAATTTTTCCTTGAAAAAATTTATCTTCATGAGTGTTTCTAATGATTTAGGTCTATTTATATTGTACAGAAGTCAGAATGCATCTTCTTCAAAGAGAGGAGTGATTAACTTTGCATTTTGTAGTCATTTCACTCTGTAAAAAGCAATTCATCTCAGTCCTCCAACATAAATGACTTCAAAAATTGTCATGGGACATAGTCTCTCTTTTATGCAAACTGTTCTGAATCTTACTTTTAAATTTAAAAAAATACATATTTAGACATTAGAACATGTATTTTTAATGAGTAGGCTTAGTGTTTTTCAAAGGGCAATTCTGCATATTTTATGTTTTCTTATACTTTTCTATCTAACAGTAACCAAAGTTTGCAACTATATATTTATTGAGTGGTCATTGAATTAATGATGGTATCAGAGATAAGAACTTTGACTCTTCAGATAACCACTGTATCCTTGACGCTTACAAAAGTTTCTGGTACATAGTTGGTGTTCTAAAGTTTTTTGACAGAATGAGTGAATGAATAAAATATTTTAAATACTAGATAATATTATGGAAAAGAGTCAGTGATTTAGAAGGATTTTTCATAATATGGAATCAAACCTGTAGAAAAAATTTTAAATGAAGGTAAAAAATATAAATTCATTTGGGAAAGTCATTCAGAGTGTCTTTCTAGCCAGGATGTACCACACCCTTCGTTCTCAGACCTGAGTGTATGGGTTCATACATGCAAATGAGCTTGTTATGACACTGAGGCAGCATGAGGCAGGCTTCAAAGTCCATGCCATAACAGTGAGTCAATCTGTGTACTCTACGAACTCACTGATTACAAGTCAGCCTGTTGGACTTATCACTAAAGACCACAGTGAGCTTTGGCTAATTCTGCATGGCTTCCTCCTGTTCATTACCCCACACCACTCTTGAAAGAAACAACTACTAACTGAGACCAGTGGCTCCTATTCCAAGTCTTGTGGTGCACTAATGAAATTCTCATTGTAGAGAAAAGGCTGGGGATCTAGTGGATCATTAGCTATGGCCACATAGGCAAGAGAACAGAAGAGAGTTACAAAAAAAAAAAAGAAGAAGAAGAAGAAGAAGAAGGAAGTCTTAGATAAGAGACATGACATAGGACCCAAGTAAAATTCATGGGTCGTCTTCTTTGACATTAAGTATTGGTAGTCCCATCCTCAAGCCTATAGTATACAAAGTGGTTTAATTTAGGTGATATATTTAATGGGCAATTTCCAGTTATGCTTTTTGTTAGGATTTAAAAATGTGGTAGGATAGGAGAACCTCAGGGCAGGGTAATTTGTAGAAATAGGGATACATTTATGTTTCTATTTTCTTTATATGAGATACCATTCCAGCTCAGTCAATAAGTCTACTTTATACATGTTGAATTACAATTTAAAATGTGAACAAAAGAAGTAAAAAATAAAAAATCACAGCCTACCCACAACGCGTTCCATTTGTCACATTCTGGTTGAGGGAGCTGTTGGTCCACACTATGGTGTTATTTACACATGCTTTTCCAGGGATCTTGAGTTCTTGTACTTCATTTTCATAGTCAATAAAAACATCTGTCATGCTGCCAAAAATGAGGAGCACACCTGGATGGGCCAGGCCGTGGAGAAATGCACATATACCTCCCACAGACATCAGCCAAATGTCAGTCGCTGAGGAAAATCGAAACTTGAAAAACAAAGGATTCAGAGGTCATCTATGGGTGCAAAGCAGGAGAGGTAGGAGGACTGTTTAATTTTAGTTACTCGATTCTGATAAATGGTATTCAACACTAAACTTTGGGGGATCATCTTGATGAAAAACAGAATTCTTACTAATTATGTCCAAATAAACAGTGTATCAATTATCTAGAACATTAGACTCATAATTGTCAGTCCATGTTCTTTCTTTCCTGATTTTTGAACTGACTTCTTTTTTTACTATCAAGAGCTGACTTTGGCTCTTAGCTATTCGTCTGCCACTTCAGTGAGAAGCAGTCCCCAGCACGGACGCCATTGCCATGTGTATCTCCTGTGTGGGGCACTCAGCAATAGCAGAAACTGTCTCCCAGGACTCGTAGTGACAAGAAGAGTGCCCATCTGTGCCTAGAAATGCCTCCACTATGAACAGATTTGGGGAAAAGACTTATACCATGGAATATCTAAAGTCTTGTCATAGAATAGATACACATGATATGATTACTGTGATGATTCTCCTTATTAAAATAATTATAAACTTAGTAATTATTCTCCAGGACACTTTTTTTAATCTTCCCAATGTGTTTCATCAGCAATATATTTCTAATTGTTAGTCAGAATGCTATCACATAGACAAAGTGTATGACTGAAAAAGTGATCATTGTAGTTAAAAACCTGCCAATATGACTAATGATTTAACACTTCCTCCAGGATCTGAATAATTTATAGTTGCAAAACCTATGCCCTATATTGGCACAATTTTATTACCAGTTGAAAGAAGCCAACTTGACTGCTGTCACCTTTCTTCTCATTTTGTAACCTGAGGAGAAAAAATAGGGATTTAAAGACCAGCTTTTCCAAACAATGAAAAATTCTGCCTAGGTGGTGATTTTATGAGTCATTCTTTTTCTTCTTCTTTTTTTTAGCCCTCACCTGAGGCTGTGTTTATTGATTTTAGAGAGAGAGAAAGGGAGAGAGAAACATCAATCTGTTGTTCCACTTGCTGATGCATTCATTAGCTGATTCTTGTACGTGCCCTGATGGGAGATCAAACCTGCAACCTTGGTGTATCAAGATAATGCTCTAACCAACTGAGCTGCTTGGCCAGGGATATGAGTCATCTTCAGTAAGAAAAAAAAGCCCCCCTCTGGCTGAGAAATTCTTGCAAAATATGGTATCTTAAAAACAAGCTTTTATTCTTCAGATTTGCCTCTTATAGAGATTTCAGTATAGATATATATCATGTTCAGTAGAGATTCATTGAGGTTTTTCTAAAGGCACTGAAAGAAAATAAAAAGTACTCTGCACGTTCAGTTATACTAATAAATACTGGATTCAATTGTTGATAGTTATGTATTTATTGTCATTTTAAGATTCATAGTTTTGATCTTCTTCTTTTTCTTAAGTAAGTCCCTTTAACATTTCATATAATAATGATTTAATGATGACAAACTCCTTAGCACAAACTAAGCAAACAAGCAGAACAGAAACAGAATCATAGATATGGAGAACATTATTAGGATGGTAGCCAGTGGGGAGGGGGTTTGGGGGAATGGGGGATAAGGTGAAAGGATTAAGAAGTACAAATTGGCAGTAACAGAATAGACAGGAGGATGTTAAGGGCAAGTACAGGAAATGGAGTAGCCAAAGAACTTATATGCATGACCCATGGACATGAACAAAGGAGGGGGGATCATCAGAAAGAGTGGGGTGTGCCGGATGGAGAGGGCAAAGGAACAAAAATTGGGAGAACTGTAATGACACAATCAATTTAAAAAAAGAAATAAAAAAATAATTGTTGGAGTTCAGCCTTGACTCTTGACCTATTTCTACTTACATTTCCTTGTGGGTAAATTGAAGTGGTTGGATTAGCTGATTTAAAACTTCTTTCTAGCACTTAAAAATTTTTACAACTACATTAAATAGTGTTGATATGATAAAAAGTTCCTCCAAAACTTCCATACTTTCCATAAAATTATATTTCCTTAGTATTTCTTATGTATTCTATTTTTCATTAAGTTATACTTAACCCATCTTTGACCTTCTCAACTCCAGAATCTCTATTTCAGCTGAGTCATTCATTTATGGATACACCCTGGACCATGATTTCACCAGGAACTACTCTACTTCATTGCATGCAAGGATAGTCCAGGCATTTTGTTTTCCCACTTCCTTCCCCCTTCCACAACTATTTGTCATCTCAATTGAGACATGCAGTCCTTTAAGCCCTCCACTTATTTATAATTGCTGAACTTCATCAAGATTTTGCTTCCTTCTCACTGAATTCCAGGTCCCACTGTCTGCCATTTGAACCACTCTCTCATCATCCTTAATCTTTTCCCAAAATCCTTCCTTGGAAACTCCACCTCTATATTCATCCAGCCTGTTTGCCCTCTTCTCCTGAAACCAGGCTACTCAGCCAGCTGGAGACAATCTCTCCAGTCAAATGCTAAACACATGCCATATTTATCATTCGCTTGCCCTGAGTTTCTCTTATGGAAACCCAAGTCCTGGCAAAATATTCAAGGCCCTCAGTAGTCTGGCCAACTGGATCTCTGAACTTGTCACCTCTTGCTGCATTCCAGTTCTCACCACCTGAGCCATCTGGCCTCTTTGCTGACTTTGTCCATGCCAAATTTGTTTCCACCCCTGCCCACTTGCACTTGCTATTCCCTCCTGCGAGAGTGCTGTCTCTCCAAATATCTGCATGACCAGTTCCCTCACCTCCTTCAGACCTTTCCCCCAAAAGTCACCTTCTCATTGAGGCCTTCCTTGATCAAAGTCATTAACATGTCAACCTTCCCTCACATCATTTCCATTCCATGTTTACCTTTGCCTTTGTAGAAAAAAAGTGATAGATTATCACTAGTTGCCATGCTATATGTTTTATTCATTTATGGTGTTTATTATGTCTTCCTCACTAAAACACAAGCTCCTCAAGGACAGAGTTTTGCCTAATTTATTCTTTTCTGTACCTCAGCACTAATTTTAGTGTCTGACACCCAGTGGGTACTCAATTAATATTTGTGAAATGAATGAATAAATGAGTGAATGAGTATGGTCTCTGGCTTAGCTCAATCCAAACACTGTATTTTCTCCCTCTAGAGATTGTTCCCTTCTCCTCAGCAACTTTATCAAACTTTCACTCTTACCTTCTCATTCTGTGTTGTCACATCTTTTAGGAGATAGATTATTCTCTCCTCTAAAAACCAAAGAACTTACTCCAACTTCAAGGTCATTCTCTGATTGCCTTTCATCTACACTCACACCCATTTTCATATTTTCACACCCAGTGTGATTCTTCTAGGCCTGGGCTGGTCCTACCACTCCTAGTCCAAAACTAATGATACCACACCCATCCCTTCCCTCTGCCATGAATTATTTAAAATTTCTTAAGTACCTTCAACTTCTTTTATGGGAATTTGCCTGGCACCTCCCTTCTGTCTTCTAAATTAGACTCCATCTACCTTGCTTTCACGTCAAAGTATGATTAACTGACATTTAATTTAAATGAGAATTTAAACTCTTAAGCTAAAGAGGAATATCCATTAATTAAGTTTTAAGTTTCTCCTATTTGCTTGTGGAAAGAATCTGTGGCTTGGAAACTTCCCCTGTACAGAAGAAATCATAGTTGTCCAACTTTTCTTCTACTGTTTAGGTCGGAATTCTGTGCTGTTCCTGGATGCACAGGATAGATTTGGACCTAGTCTAGAAGGGATGTTCCAAAATATTTTTGAAATCAAATTATACTGTATTAAATCTAAAGAGAAAAACAATGGATTATCTATATCATTTTATAAGAAGTACGACATATATAAGAATATTTTTTTTATTTTGTGCCTTTTATAGGAAAGGTGTAGAATTATTCTAGAAAAGATATATTGGTGAAATAGTCTCTTACCGTGAATTCTTATCATTGTTATCTGTCAGGGAAAAAAACAATGCATAAGGCAGTTAATAATGACAAAATGCAACATAATCATTAACGATTTTTCTCTGGGAAAAAAAATTCCTATAAATTATTTTTATTCATGAAATATAGCAAAATGATTATTTGCTTTTTCTCCTTTTATTCTCTCTTTACATATATAAGAAGAAGACATTCTTTCAGAATTAGGACTGCTGGCTTGATTATGTTTCTAGACTTTTCTCTAGGATATGAAATACATCTTCTGAATATTAACTGGACACTAGCATGTTTAAGTTAGCTGAAAAAGATATGATTTTTTTGAACTACCAGGTGAAAGGACAAAATCAGCACCATTTGCTCTCATGGCACCATTTGTGGAGCAGGCCTATGACCTTGTTAAACATGACTGCCATTTCACTCTTCTGAGCTTATGTCCCCAAGACTGGAAATTACTGTAAAGCAAGAACAGAATATGACTAACCGCCCCCCACAGCCATAGGCAGAAGATAACATTGGAGCAAACTGCAGCTTATGCAAAACCACCCCAAATCTCCTGTGTTGCAATGTTCCAAACAGCCCAGGGTCCTCACAACAGCAACCCCCAGCACTTTTATAATCCAGTTATAATCCAATAAAAGCTCAAAGCTCCCATCCCTCTGTGCTGGTGTATCTCTTCACATCAGGCCCCTTTCTACTCTTGGAAAGTGAATAAAACTTCGCTTTCTGCATTTTCTTGTCTTCGTGAATTTTTACACAGCCCACATCACCTACCACCCTAACCCCAAATGAAATGAATATTTATTTATTATTTGATTCTTTAGATGCATCAGAACTTATCTATTTAAAATTTAGACCACAGAATAACTCTGCAGTATGATGCTGTTGATTCTTGCATGCCAGGAGAAGCCATAGGATTGAGCTACATATTATTTTCCCCAGCATCAATCAGAGCAGATGGAGGTAGGAGGTAAAAGAGTCTGGGGTAGGGAAGTGACAGGGAAAGAAACTCAAGTTGCTTATGTCAACCATTACCATGGAACAGCACAACCTGATTCTCCTGGCATTTTAATTTAATTTAACTAAGAGTAAAGAGCCATTATATTACAGATAGAGATTAATATTATGGATTTGGGAATCAGACAGAAATGGATTAGGATTATGGCTCCATTATTAATCATGTTATCTTTGCCAAGTTTTAAAAAATTTATCCAAGCCTCAGTTTCTTCTCCTGTAAAATGACAAGATTTATTTAAAAAGTAAGGCTTGCTTAGAATCATTTGTGTTCACTACACGTTAGGTACTAGACCCCTTCCATTCTAGCCAGCCTAGTCCTAGGATAGTTCCTCTCAGGGAGAGCGCTCACTGAATAGTCCCTACTCTAATTAATTATTACATTATATGAATAAAGGTAATAATAATAGCCAATGTTGGAACAATCTTGCTCTGCCTAAGAATGAGATATTTATAGGTTTGATAATTTACTCACCCATATTTTGTGCATTTTTACAGTAACATTTTCAGACATTCCATTACATGGATACTAGGAAGAAGCACCCATTCATGTATGAGAAACATGTTCTGTAATAGTTCTAAATATTGTTGATGATTTTCTCTGCCCCTTTAAACCTCACTGGCTTGTTCTACTTTTGTTCTAACCTGTACAATAGACAGTGAGAGAAAAAGGCCACTTACATGATCTATCTGACTCAAAACCATGATTTTCCTCCCCAAATTTCTTCACACTGCGAAGAATTACTGAGTCAGACATGGTAATTGCATTCAGTGACCCTGTAATATAAATTAAAAGAATGATTACAATTATTTCTTTTTTAACCAAAGTAGCCAAATGAAAGAAAAATTGGTTTAAAAAAAAACACTTCACTAACAATCTCATAAAAAGAAGATTGTTTAAGTGATTAATGACTCCATGAAAGAGTCTAATGATTAAGAAAGATAAACCTAAACTATTGATTATGGATTTCTCGAGCTGATGAATGGATAGATGTTTTTTAGCTATCTGTCCTCTCAGCTTACCTGTCTTTTCTTCCTTCCTTCCTTCCTTTCTTTCTATCAGTAAAAGGAAATATCACTATTCCCTGGCCAGTGTGACTCAGTTGGTTGGGCATTGCCCCAGAAACCAAAAGGTCTCCTGTTTGATTCCCAGTTAGGGCACATGCCTGGGTTGTGGGTTCAGTCCTCAGTTGGGGCATATACAAGAGGCAATGGATCAGTGCTTCTCTCCATCTCTTTTCTCCCTCCCTTCCCTTCTCTGTAGTCAATAACAGAAAAAAAATTTTTTAAACCCTCTAGAAATGTACAATGAACTGGCAACATTCTTGGGTCAGTATCTAACCAAGGACACCCAAATACTAGTATTTAGCCTTCAGAGCTCCTTTGTAAATAAAGCTCCTAGATCCAGGATACAGCAAGTCCAGTATGGACCAGAACTGCTTTCCACCTTATTTTAGAAAACAAGTATAACCTTGTTATCAAAACAAACAAAAATGTTATAAAAAATCATAATTACTTTTCTAAATAGATTTAAAAGCATTAAATAAGATATGTTAAGGATCATTCAACAGTTTTTATTATATGAAAACATATAATGAGCAACGTTAATCCCAAGAATGCAGTGATTATTCAATGTAAAAGCATTTTGATCAGTTTGATGTAAGCAGAAAAGTATTCAATAAAAATTATTATCCATTCCTGATTTTTAAAACCCTCTAAAATTAGAAAAATTATTATTTTTCACCCTAATGAATAAATTATGGAAAATGATCCACAATGAGTACTAAAACCATTAATTGAAATACTGGCAAAGAGTAAATATCCAATAGTACAAAGTGTTATGAAGATTTACTTTAAAAGAAAGAAATCACATTAAGTTGTCATGTTTCTTGAAGCTCCTCTTTGCTATGACAACGTTTCATATTTTTCTTGTTTTGATGACCCTGATCGTTTTGAGGAGTATTGAGCTGTTATTTTGTGGAATGTCCTTTAAATAGAGTTTATGTGATATTTAATTTTCTCATTAGACAGAAGTTGTATGTTTGGCAGAGGAAGACCACAGAAGTAAAGTGCCCTTCCCATTACATCATATCAAAGGCACTATCAATATTATTTAATTAAGTAGTTTATGAGGTCAGTATAAATTTTAAAAAATACTAAATGAACAAGATTCAAAATTATTTTATTCAACAACAAAATTTTTTCAGTATAACAGTATTACAGAGACTGCAATTCTTGCTGTTTCTATCGATTCTGAAATTTTAATCAAATAAATTTTTTTCAAAAAGCAAAGAAACTCTTCCATAATGAAAGAATAATAAAATAATTTTAACAATAGTTGTAATATTGCATTTCCTGACTTTAAAATAAGACTTTTTAAAAAGAAATTAAGTATCCAGTTATATTTTTTCTGGCTTAGCTCTTACTTTAAAAAAGTTTCTTTCTACTGGTACATAAATATTTGGCAGTATTTAGAGGCCATTGGTATAGTGTCTTGCCCTTAAACTTCAGAGTCTGACAGACCCTGGTACTGCCTATGGCTTCACTCTGTTATGTCTTTTCAATTTCTCTCCAGGACTAGATTGCTTCATCTTTGAAGTCAGAGAGTGGTGGTAATGGTAAAATCTGCCTTGCAGGACTGATAGGAAATGAAATGAATCTGTGTCTGATATCAGCTGGCACAAATGGAGAAGGGAGCTAAAGTTCCCCTTGCCTTTCAAGCTTGGTGACTGATTCCACCCCACCCCCCACCCACACCCCTCACACACACGTCCTGCCCCTCCCTTCTGAGGTCATTGGTAGTAACTGCAGTCTTCATTAAGGAAGAGAATGCTAATCAACCAGCATACTCTCTTCACTTTCCCTTTCTTGTGCCTTCAGAAATTCTGTACATTAGGTTTCACTTTAAGTTTCTTTACATCTTCCTTCTTTCTGAACTCAGTGATTTTTGTGACATCTATCTTACTATTAAAAAGTAATATTCTCAGTCAAAAATTTATGCAAGGCATGGATTTCTATCCTCATAGCTTCATCATGCCCTTGAGCCAGGGACCACCAGGAATACACCTGTGGCTGAACAATCTCAATTTCTTGTTGCAGTGAGAGAAAACACACTGTGAAGGACTATAGGTATCTCAGTAAAAGGGTGTTAGGAAGAACCAACTATAGGACGTGGCTTTAGTTAGGTGACTTGGGAGAAGGCCCAATGAAGTGGAGGTTGCTCCAGAGTAGATGCTGTCAGAAAGCCAGAGCAATTTTATGATCGGGTAAAGAAATAGTAGTCATTCATTTGAGAGGGAGAGAGGGATGTGTGGCTTTTGTGTGTGTTGCAGTGACCTTATTTTGTCCTGTGCAGCATTATGAAATGGGCTTGCTTTTTCTCATTTTATCTTGGTCTCAGGGTGACCTTGTCTGAGGTTAGTGGGATGATCAATTTTATCTGTCAATGTAAGTGGGGCTAAGCAATACCAAGATAACTGGTAAAACATTATTTCTGGGTGTGTCTGTGAGGGTGTTTCCAGAAGAGGTTATCATTTGAATCAGTAGGAAATCCAATGTTTTGTATCCTCACCAATGTTGATGGATACCATTCATTCATTCCTTTGAGGGCTTGAACAGAACAAAAAGGCAGAGAAACTGATGGTGGAGAAACTGAATAGACATTTTTCCAAAGAAGACATCCAAGTGGCTGACAGATAAATAAAAAGATACTCAATACTCATTGTTATGGAAGTGCAAATCAAAACCACAATGAGACATCACCTCACATCTGTTAGAATGGCTATCATCAAGAAGACAAGAGACAGGTATTGGCAAGGATGTGGAGAAAGGAGACTCTTGTGCACTGTTGGTGGGGCTGTAAATTGGTGCAGCCACTATGAAAAGCAGTATGGAGATTCCTCAAAAAATTAAAAATACAAATACCATACGACCCAGAACTCACTTTTCTATGTATATATGCAAAGGAAATTAATACAGAATATCAAAATGATATCTATACTCCCAAGTTTACTGCAGCATTATTCATAATAGCCATGATATAGAAACCACCTAAATGTCTGTCAATGGATAAATGGATAAAGAAGATGTGGTGAATATATACATATGGAAAACTATTCAACCATGAGAAAGAAGGAAACCCTGCCATTTGTGATAGTATGGATGAATGTTGAAGGCCTTATGCTTAGTGAGAAAAGCCAGACAAAGAAAGACAAACATTGTATAATATCACTTATATGTGGGATCTAAAAAAGGTGAACTTGCTGACTCCCTGTCAAGGTGGAAGTGTAGGCAGACATGGCTCACCTCTCCCCACAGCCACAACAAAATTACAACTAAAATATAGAACAACCATCACTCAAAACTGGCAGAAATCAAGTTGAATAAAGTCTGACAACTATGGAATTAAAGACACGACATCCATCCAGACTGGTAGGAGGGGCGCAGATGTGGAAAAGGCTGGTCCCACATCCACATGTGGCGGGTAAAAATTCAGGAGGGATATCTCAGCAGCAAGGAGTCCCAGACCCACACCAAGACCCCAGCCCAGGGTTCCAGTGCCAGGAAGATAAGTCCCCGCAACTTCTGGCTACAAAAAGCAGCGGGATAGAGTCAGCGGAAGAAACTGCTGAAGCCCCAAGCAGTTCCTCTTAAAGAACCGATGCATTGACTCATCTACTCAGATTCACTCCCTCTGGGCTCAGGCGCTGGGGAGGTGGCGTGAGGGGCACCAGTGGCATACGGGGGGGCAGCTGAGGTATCTGGAATCAAGGTGAGCAGAGGTCGTGGTCCCTTTTTTGGGCCTTCCCCCCCACAGAGCCAGCAGACGGGTGACATATCTAAGATTCCATCAACCTGGCTAACACTGAGGCACCTTGAAGATACCCAGACACTCAGCCCCACCCAACTTATAGGCCCACCCAAGCTGCTCTTCCATATGAACAAATAAGCATCAGCTGGCCTCGGTGGGCCCCAGGCCCTGCACTAGCAGTAGCCAACCTAGATCCAGAGCTTGGCTTCACCTGCATATCTTCAAGCCCAGCACAAGTAGCAGCCATCTCAGATTGCTTTATCGCTCAGGTAGAGTGCCCCAGACAAAACACAGGTCGGGGCTGGCTTTGGCCTGCACCACCCAGGAAATCCCAGGGCCAGTGCACCCAGTGGACTGCTACACACCATGTTGGAGCATCACCACCTGCCCCTGCACAGCTGATCCTCCTCAGAGGAAGGAGGTTGGCAGTCAGTGGTCACAGCTAATCCTTGTAGCTTACTAACCTGGGTAAATCCCTCCCATGGATTCACCAATAGTGACCAAGGCTCAATTCCAAGTGGAGGGTACTCAGCCCCCAGGAAGGGCACACCTCAAATATCCAGCTTGGATGATAGGGGAGGCTGTGCCACTGGAACCTATAAGACTCCTATTACATTAGTCCACACTGCCAAGACACAGAGTCAAAGCAGCTCTACTTAATACATAAAAACAAACCCAGGGAGGCTGCCAAAATTAAGAGACAGAGAAACATGGCCCAAATGAAAGGACAGATCAAAATTCCAGAAAAAGAGCTAAATGAAATGGAGATAAGCAATCTATCAGATGCAGAATTCAAACTGTTGTTTATAAGAATGCTCAAGGAACTTAATGAGAGCCTTAACAGCATAAAAAAGACCCAGTCAGAAACAAAGGATACACTAATTGAAATAAAGAACAATTTACTGGGAAATGACAGTAGAGTGGATGAAGTCGGGATTCAAACCAATGATATGGAACATAAGGAAGC